TTTTTGATTATTTTTCAATGAAGAAGAGCATATCATTGTTTGGTACATGAATATCTACAAAATAACTGATATTGTTCAAGGTTACTCTATCTTATCTGATATACGGTACCGATTGTGTTCTGATATTCAAAGAAGGTTCTGGTATGGTTAAGTATAAAGAAGGAATCTTATATCACTTTTTCTAATATATGAATGTCAGTAGAATTAAAAACCGTCCGTTTGCAAAGGAATGACTGATATGCTGCATTTCGTTGTTGGATTCCTAGTTATTTCCTATCTACTGAATCCAACTATTAAGAATCTTCTCTTTATTACTTTTTTTTTTATTAGTTCTTTCTCTTTGCACTATTGTTTCGCAGTCCTTAATTTAACGAAATTTTAATGTTACTATCATAACATTATTTTTGATGTTTCAATTAATATTTTTACATATTTCAATCGTATGAGCAGGTATTGTATATGGGTGGTTTATAAATTATCGATATTATATTGACAGAGTCTTAATTCAAAAGAGTTCGGCCTTGTTTTCAGCTAATTTTGATTACTTGATACCATAGTGACTAAGAAGTTCCGACATTCACAACCATTTGTTTAGAAAAGAGTCTACAAGTAGAAAATAAGTAAAAATAAAGTTTATAATAAGGTTGAGAAATTGGATTTCCCGCTCAAAAAGTGATAAATATTCATTGATTTTACTTTTTTTAGAAGGCTTCTTATATAAGTTACATGAAACCTAATGTGAGGCTATGTCTCTTGCTATTACTTCAATGTCTATGACAGATTTTATTTCATGATATTCAGATACTAATTCAATATTCTTCTCAAACCGTTTACACAAAAGCATTTTGGTTTAACATATTTGTAAGATAATGCATGTTTGTTATATGATCACTATTTAAAAAATACTAATTACAGCTTAATTGCAAATCATCTGTACAAAACTTAACTATAACAGAAATAAATTGAATTTATATTCCTAAATTTTATTGACTTTAAGTTAAATTTAGTGTGAAAGAATGTATGTAGATTAAATAAAATGCAATGAAAGACAAAAACAGCTAAAATAATGCATAGAAGTGTTTAAAAATTGA